AGGATGTCCCTATGAAACACAGTGGGTCGCTCATAGACCATTATTCTAAATAAGGACTGCCTTACTGCCTCTCTCCCGCCCCTCTTCCAACAAAATGTTATTCGCAAAGCCTCTCTGCGGGCCACTCACACATATAATTTAAAAGAAGCACTGCCTGTGGGCTGCAGACCAATAATTATGAAAAAACTGAACTGTACTTCAGAACCCAATATTTTGAGAAGAGGTGCCCAAGGGCGCAGCTTACCTATCACACTTATTGAGATTTTATGCCCTACGTGCCGCCTACAGACTATTTTGAAAAAGAACTGCCAACGAACCTACAGAGCAATATCACGAACTGCCCTAAGATCCTTTCATATTCAAGAGACATAGCCATAAGAGCCGCTTACAGGCCGAAATTTATTGGAATTTTCAAAATAAAAAATGGGTTGCTCATCAGATCGATATTTTCGAAGAGAACTACCCTGTAAACCACTGCAAACCAATTCTGAAGAATAAACTTTCCTATGGGGGCCTCCTACAAAGAATTCTGGAAGAACTGCCCTTCGAGCCCCTACAAACCTATGACTCCGGGATGAAATTGACACCGTCCGCTTACAAACCGATATCCTGAGAAAGAAATGCTATGTGGGTTTATAGACCTATAATTCAACTACACTCTGAGCTTTATACACACCAATATTTCATAAAAAAAATGCCCTACGGGCCGCCTTTAACCGAAATTTTGAGGAAGAACTGCCCTACAAACACTCAAGCCAATATTCTGAGAAGACCCTAGGAGCCGCTTCAAGACCGAGGTTGTCAATTCGAACCACCCTCTTTACAAGTACTCTGCGAACCATTGGAGAGGAGACTGTAAGCCCTTACAAAACCATGATCAAGCTACATACAAATAATATCGTGAAGAGAAGCTGCTGCGCCGCCTACAGACCAATAATTGTAGGAATGATTGCCTTATGGACCGCTTATAGACCGATAATACTTTTTGTTAATAAACAGTGCTCCGCATACGCCTACAGAGCGATATATGTAACAGCTGCCCTTTGTCCTCCAGAACGTAATTACAAGAAAAAATCTTTCCTACGGCTTCCTACAGAGAGGCTGGAAACATAACAAACCCTTCAAACCCCTATAAATGTATCATATTCTGGGATAAATCTGCCATACGCCCCCCCCCCCCCTTACGAACTAATATTGCAAGGAAACCATATGGGCTGCTAACAGACGGAAAAACCTGCCCTAATGGCCGCCCACGAACGGTACTTACAAAGGGAACTTAGTCGAAGTGGCGTCTCAATATGAGATGTATACTATCTTATAGAGCCCAGAACGCTGATCTCAAATCTGCTTTCGGTACCTGCAAAGCGCGTTTGGGATTGGAGTTCTGGCAGTTTTTTGAGGTAAAAATTCAATGATTCGGCTGAGGCAAAAAAATGCGTTGAGATCTTTTCGGCGCTGGAAAGAGTAATGACTGACATGAGTTTATTAAACTAAAGATATTTATCGTATGAAACGCCCCGGTAGTAATCATGGCCTCTTCTGAACTTACAAACTCAAATTCTGAATGATTTTATTATAGCGATGATTTTAAATTTTTGCATCAGAAATCACCATAACTCCACTCTCAAAAGCGCTTTGCAGATACCGAAGGCAGATTTGAAATCAGCGTTCCATGCTCTGTAAGACAGTATACATCTCATATGGAGGCGCCACTTCGATGTATCCCTCCCTTGTTAGTTATTAGAAGGAAATGTTTTATGGGCCGCTTGCAAACCATTATGGTTTCTTAATTATGAGAAAGCACTGCCCTATGGGCATCAGCCCGATATTCTAAACCCTACCCTACAAGCTGTACGCCTACGAGGCGCTCACGTATGATCTGCTCTATCAGCAGACCAAAGTTTTGAGAAAAAACGAAGCTACCAGCTACTTAGAGACCTACACAATGATATTTTGAGGAAGAAGTGCCTAGAAATCCATACAAACCACAGCATATTGTGATAAAACTGCTCTACGGACCACCTACTCAGACAATCGCCAGGGGCAGGCGGGCACCGGAAAAATAGATTGCTGATCTCTTGCACCCCGCTCGCGGACTTTTTGGAAAGCAATCAGGACTTTTCGGAAGACCGCTTGCTGAGTTCTCGATTCCTCAGAGATTCAGCAATATATCTGCAAAAGATAAGAGCGAAAAAAATTTCAACAGGCGGTCTCTCAAAAATCCGCTGACTCAGCAAGCGGTCTTCCGAAAAGTCCTGATTGCTTTGCAAAAAATCCGCGAGCGCGGTGCGAGAAATCAACAATCTATGTTTCCGGTGCCCGCCTGCCCCCAGCGATTGTCTGAGTACAAGCCAATATTTTGAGAAAGAACTATCGTATGGGATTCTACAGACCGATGTTCAAAAAAAGCGCCGTGTGGGCCGCTTGCAAATCGATAATTACTTGAAGGAGCCGCCCTATGGGGAGAGGACAAAGACCTGCAAACCAATATTTGGTGAAGAACTGCCCCGTGGGCTCTTGCAGACCATTCTTATGGGAAAGAACTGCCCTATGGACCGCTTACAGACCAACATATCAAAAAAGAACTGAGCTGCAAATCCTTAAACCAATACCTCGAAAACAAAAACTGCCCCAAGAGCCGCTCAAAGACCGATATTTGAAAAAAAAACCGCTCTGGGAGCCCCTTAAAAAGCAGTATTCTGAAAAATAAGTACGAACCGGACAGCGAACAGACCGATTTTGAGAATTGCCCTATGAGCCTTAGAGACCTACAGAATCGCCCCACGGGCAGCATACCAACTTTTATTTCGAGAAAAACAAAGAACTGTTCTCATCAGTCTTCATCAATTATGGGCAGCCATGAACTTTAGCAGGAAAATGAGAATGTGAGCAGTTGAAGGCGTAAACGTTGAGAAATTACTACAGAATGTTTACGCAAAACAATGAGCTCCAAAATCAGTCATACCGCCAAATACAAAGTTGTGAAAGAGAGTTCTACAGAACAACGTTTCAGAGTACTGCTCTAGAACCCCCACCCCCCCCCCCCCCCCACAAACCCTTTGAGAAAAAGCAGCCCTATGGAACACCTAGACCTGTTAACAAAAGAAAGTGCTCTATGGAATGCATGTAGACCGATATTCCGAGAAATAGCTGTACTACTAACCCCCACAGACCATAATGAAAAAAGTGCCCTATGAGGAGCCCGCAGCCGTCATTGTAACATGAACTGCCCTACGAAAATATACAAATTGTACTCCCTAGCAGCTCCTTACGGATTATCTGCTCTATGAAAAGCCAAAAACCGGAATTATGAGAAAAAATAAAGGCCCACCAGCTGCTTAGAGACTCATGAGAACTGCCCTGCGGGCCGCACAAACCGATTTCGAGAAAGAACAAACTGTCCTCAAAACACCATCGACCTTTTTAAAACACATAGACAACCATGGATACTTAGGAGGAAGATGTGAACAGATTACAACATTTACATGAACAGTAGGCATCACTACAGCATGTCGAAAACCAAACTGGCGGGGCGCCAGTGCAAAAGGTCGAAACAACAGTTTGATTCCGTCACACCCGCGAGTTGAAACTTGCGAAAGAGAGGAAGGAAGGGGGGGGGGGGTACTGTTAGCAACCTTACGAGAGTGTCGGCACCTTCCCAAACTATGGCCTTTTTGCACTTAGTAGTCGCAGCCCTTTCGAAAACATTCCTCGAGGAGGGACGATGCTCACCCCCTAAAAAAACACGCTAGCCTTGTTTACAAATCTGTACCCTCCGCACCCACGGCAATCACTCGCCTCAGTCTGCAACTTGTCAACATGTAGGTGCAAAACCTTACCTTGCCATTCTTTATTATAGAATGATATGGTATGATTGACAAGAAAACGTCCAGTTCTTGGGCATTGGCCCAAAAAGTGAGCGAAAAAAAAGTCTACTATGCAACATCGCTGCCAAAAAACGATTGCTTAGATGGTCGATTTTTTTAGGGTTATACTTGAATTCTTTAGAAGTATCTGCTCAGAGATATGCTCACGGTGGTCATTGTCCTTACGGTCACGTCAAATTGGCACATGTTCTTCTGTAGGAAAAGCTCTTCGCTACCGATCTTACTGGAGATAGAGTACGAATGAGTAGCTGTCTACAATCCATTCGTGATGGGCAGCATCGCATGGTGGATTCCAGAGCCATCATCACGAGAGCACGAGGAAGACACATAGATAATAGAACCAGTGCGAGCCTCTGCTTCGCATGGTTCTGTTATATATGTGAGCATTTGACTCTGTGTTCGTACTGGTCTAATATACGAATCAATGGTCATCTGAGACGGAAGCTTCTATTTTAGTAAATGCTCGACAAGCGACAATGTTAAATGCTTTATGCAGCGCTTATAAAATTCCACTCGCATGCTAAACGCAAATGGTGTATCTATCATGTTAGAACAATGCGCTCGGAAGGCGCTTTTGTGAAACTGACTTAAATTGTGCTTGCTATTCGTGCGAATTCGCGAAGCGAACCATGTTCAGCATGGTGATTATCCGATTATGGGATGGCCTTGCTAAGTTTTGGAAATACAGAAAAAAGTAAAGGTAAAGTTGAGCTCTTTTTTCCAAATTGAGGGAATCTAGTTGGTGTTGGCGGATGCAGAGTACGTTCAAGAGGGTGCACCAGAAATTTGATTTTTCTAAATAAAAAACTTGGAAATTGTTCCAAACTGTTAAAATGGTCTTCAACTTCTGGATCCAGGTCATATTTAGAGTCTCAACGTAGGATTTGAACTAGAAAGAAGCTGACATAGATACTTTATAAACTTCTCCGACGAGGTTATGAAACTTTAATCCGAGCACTATGGCTATCTCTGGACTTCGCAACCAAATCTCGTGAGTCCGTCGGTTGATAGTCATATTGAACCGCAGCTCAGTCGTTTTTTGTTTTTAGAGCTGCGTTTTACGTAGGCAAAACAGCGAATTTTGACGTTGATTGAAGCCTCTGGTTAACTAACCTGTTTGTTCATTATGGTAGACCGTGTCGCAATCTAGCAATAAAATAAGTGAAACTAATTGAGGAGAGATGCTTGGTTCGAATTTGCTGTCGTCATCTTTACTTTCACATCGATTTCTCAAGTGTGGTTGTTTGCTATTTGCTTTGCTTTCATGCTTACTCGTTGCGTTTTCTCTGTGCACAGCTTTATGTAAGTGTTGATCTATGGATTTCACGTTTGAAATGGGGATTTTAAAAATGAACGTGCTTTTGTGATTTAGCGGCTTGAACTTTACCAATTTTTGGTTCAGATACTGCTTTTGAAGCATTATCCTTTTTGATAGTTGGAATAGGGGAAATTGACATGCTTGGACGGTCACAGTGCAGTCTATGGGTAGCAGGGCTAGTGCGGTAGTAACGATGTACAATACCGCTCATAATACGTCAGAAAAGTCGCTGCACTCCGGTGGAGCGTGCCAGAGTGCGCTGCAGTGCGCTGGAGTGCGGCGAAGAGCAGCGGGGTGCGCCGCATGATTAAAATGCGCCGGAATTCGCGTCGCATTGCCAAATCTCACTTCAGAATGGACAAGAATCCAAGGACACTGTTTGACTCAGCTCGCTGACGCATCTTGTGATATAGAAGTACCGCAGTCTGTCAGGGGTACGGTAGATACACAATGAGTTTTATAAATTTCGTCAAATTTCTTAGATGGGTTACTAGCTGAAAACAACGTTTACAACTACTGGTTGTTAATGGCACATTGCAGTACCAGTGCTTCACCTCTGGTTCGCAGAGGCTCGCACTGGCCCTACTATCTGTATGCCTTACTCATTCTCGCACAATAATGATATTGGAACTCACCGCCGTATGCAGACTATCACGAATGATTTGTAAACAACTATTCATTCCAAAAGCTTTTCCATATGAGATCGGTAATTTCGCATGAACGAAACTTTTCTCGAAAGAACAAATGCAGATTTGAGTCGGTTTTTGGACTTTTCATAGCTTGATATTCGCGTTAAGATGCCATAATCACCGTGGCCTACATATGTGTGCAAAAATCTTCTCAAACCATCGGGTAAAATCTTGGCAAATTGAACATTTACGCAACCAATTCTTTTTGGCGCCGTTTCCGCAAAGTAATAAACTTTAGTTCAATTTTTTAGGCTAAAGACCATGACTTGCACATTAACATGTCAAAAATATCCTTAAATTTGCAAAAAGTTGCGCAACAGACTCAATTTTACTGGCTAAAAGCCAAGTGGATCCGGTTGACGCGCATTTTTTGAGGGATCCACACAATGGATCCGCTCGTGCTTTTGTATAGTAGACTCTCATGTTGGTAGCAGGCGCTGTGCAAAAAATCAGCTCAAAACCTTCGTTGGAACTCGCTCCACGAATTTCGTGACAGACAGAGATTCAGACAGACAGACAGACAGACAAACGTAAACAACCCTTAGCCCGTTATTATAAGTTATGATACTGTAGGATACGGTGAGAAGTTTCTTTGCTCAGATTAGTTGTAAAATCTGCTCAAGTTGTTTGTCTGATGCGCTGATTGCGATTATTACATTCATTTGCGCTTAAGGCATATTACGCAGGGATATTTACGATGTAAGATTAATTTATTTGCGTAACGCTGTTTATGGTTGCTTCTAAGTGCTCGTTCACTAAGTAGGGATCTCAAGTCGCACTTACGTCTGGAATGAAATGGTATCATCAAATGCGATTTTGACTGATTCCAAATCTACCTTCTATATGTCCTGAACGTCTCTCTGAGTGGAGTTATGAACTTTGAATGTCCAAACTTCGCAAACAATTATAGCAATAGAATCAAGAGTTGGCGGTACAAAGGCAATTATTTATTCCATTGATTGAGAATTTTCATTCTTTTAATCAGTACACTCAACATCATGTCGATTATGATCTTTTGAACTGATCTTTAAAACACCAGATATAGCTCAATGACTTCATTCTTTTAAATGCACCGCTTTGGACGCTATCTCAGTACTTCTTACGATTTTGGAGAACACAGACCCAACCCAATCCTATCTAAGCTCAACAACTTCAATCCAGCGGCCCTCATCAGGGCCACGAATACAATGGATACAAAAGCAAAAAATATTTCAAGTGAATTTTTGTTAATAGATTTTTCGCGAGTTTATGCATAACGTACTATGAAGAAAGTTGATGGATCCAGGATGTACTCAGACAATCGCCGGGGGCAGGCGGGCACCGCAAAAATAGATTGCTGATCTCTCGCACCCCGCTCGCGGATTTTTTGGAAAGCAATCAGGACTTTTCGGAAGACCGCTTGCTGAGTTCTCGATTCCTCAGAGATTCAGCAATATATCTGCAAAAGATAAGAGCAAAAAAAAAATTCATTAGGCGGTCTCTCAAAAATCCGCTGACTCAGCAAGCGGTCTTCCAAAAAGTCCTGATTGCTTTGCAAAAAATCCGCGAGCGGGGTGCGAGAAATCAGCAATCTATTTTTCCGGTGCCCGCCTGCCCCCGGCGATTGTCTGAGTAATTGCCGAGAACCAGAATTTTAGATGACTTGCGAGAAATTAAAGGGAATCACAGCTTCTACAAATCTGGTGTGTGGGGGTAGCTGCTGCGAATTCATAGATCTAAGGGTGAGTGTTAGTGTAGTGGTTTCATCTCAGGGTTGTTCATGTATACTGCTTCAGCAGACATTCTAGCTGTAGGCGATAACCATTCCTGCCAAAGGATTGCATTGGTTGCGGCAGCCAGCACAACCTGAACAGTTACCACTCTCACATTCGCACAGATATGTTAGTGATGGAATTACCACAAGTAGAAATCTCCAAGAAAGCATTTTCTTTCAAAGCAATTCTTGTCTGAACTTAGCTATCAACCAAAAGGCCGATGAAAGTCAAGGAAGAAAGCTTGTAAGCATGATAAGCTGTGGCAAAGGCTCATATACGTAATACTCCATTTTATAGAAGACAGAAGGAATTATCACACCCCTATGAGAATGCTATGGCTTGCTCTAATGCAATAGAAATTGATTTGAATCCATAAATTTCAAGTGCCTTCCATTCATCACAGCAGCAAGAAACATTTATATCTTAGCATTTCAGTAAAAGCGTTCGCTTCTGATGTGTTTGCCAGTGACGGGATGTCATTATTATCAATTTCCGAAGCTAAATATAAATGGTTCATGCACTGCATGTTTGGAACGTATGTTGAGATGTAGAATGTTCTGAAACTTCACAATAACATTGCTTTGCCAGCGTAATGTTCTATTGTTGAGAATTGTAGAATCGTAGAATTGTTTCCGAAGAACAAATGCAGCGCTTCATCTGTTTCTGCATACAAACAAATATCTTTCAGGTTTGAGATTTTGACTTAAAGGCAACAGTACCACAATCTTACTTAGAAGTCATTTATAGCATACGATGTGCAGACATGTGGACTCATGATTCACAATTTAGCATGTAATTTTTCCGCCTACTTCACATTTAGCGCTATAGATGTTTGATTCCTCAGTGCTAATTTCAAGCAGCATGCACGATCCTCGCTGAACAGGAGAGCAAAACTCAAAAAGAAGGGCTATTCAATACCGCTCATAATTCGTCAAAAAAGTCGCCGGACTGCGGCGCACTCCGCCACACTCCGCCGCAGTGCGCCGGAATGATCGTCTATTTAGCCATATCTCGCATCAGAATGGACGAATTCTGAATCCGAGGACACCGTTCGATTCAGCTCGGCGAGACGCATCATCCTATGTATGAAGCTGAACGTCTATTTGTCTGTTTGTCTGTACGTATGTTCCGAGTAGAAAATTCCATTTCTGAACCGATCCGGACCAAACTTGGCACACATACACTTCGGGCCCCGGCGGGTGTCATAAGCTACTTTTCGTCATCGATCAATATCGATTTTATCGATTTTTATCGATTTTTTTGCAAAGTTCACCTACGCGGCCGGGAGTTGGCACAGGGGGGGAGGGGTAAGTGAGCATGGGGATTCCGAATACAATATTAGTTTGCAGAATTATCGATTACTTTTATCAATTTTTATTGATTTTTTGCAGAGTTCACCTACGGGGCTGGGAGTTGGCACAGGGGGAGGGTAAGTGAGCATGGGGATTCCGAATACAATATTAGTTTTCAGAATTATCGGTTATTATTTTGGTTGAATTCAGTGTGCTGATAACAGTATTACTATTGATCTTCGCTGATGACACATAGACAGTATACTAGAGGAGTATGGTAGAGAGCCACTCTGATCGAATTTGTTCTAAGATCTGCTCAAGATCACAATACCGCCTACAGAATGTCAAAATTTCCGCGAACTTCGCGGAGTTCCGGTGTTTCCGCCAGAGAGCGCGATAATCCGGGAAGGAATAATCTTAGGAGGAATAATCTTATCTCTCCAAGAAGACCCTGTAATCCTCAAAGACCACGATTTTCGTAAAGAGCGTGTTCGGAAACCTCTATGGGCGAAGTTTCCTTACAATTCAAGAGCATCAACATTTTGACCAAAATCCACCGGCCAGCTTCAGAGCGCCAGACAAGAAAAAACGAAATCACCCGAACATCTCAGAAAGCTTGTTCATAAGGGTTATCCGACCTGGTGATTACAAAACTCACATCTGCTTAGCAAGATAGCCTCGTATTCTAGGGTTGCGACAAGTAGAATTTGGGACAACAAGATTTTTTTACGATTTACCAGCCTTTCTACATCCATTGGAAAGACGCCTGTGACTTCTTTTTAGCGCTGCGTAATTTACAGAAAAAGTACTATCGAAAGGTCCTTGCTGGAGTCTACTAGTGGCAATGCGCGCTGCTTTACACCTTCGCGAAAAGACGTCTATAGAAAGATTAGAGAATTAAAATCGGAATTTCAAGGATATGCTGTATATCGAAAGGCTTGCCTTGATGAACTGAGCAAATCTTTCTTCGGATTCAGAATATGCTCATTCCGAAAGAAGTTACGGCGAGTAGAATTTAGAGACACGTGATTTTTCCAAAATTCACCAACGCTTCTATCTTTTTTGGAAGACAGCCTGCAGCTACTCTTGAGCGC